AAGGTCAGCCTGGGACAAAACAACCTCAGGAAACAGAAGCAGGCAGATCTCAGTGAGTTTGAGGCCATCCTGGTCTATAGAGCAAGTTCCATGACAGCTACACAAAGAAAGTGTGTCTTGAAAAACAAGCAGAAAAGAGCTTATTTTGGCATATGATTGTTTCCATGGCGCTAAGAGTCCATGAAGGTGGGGAAAGTATGGGATCTGGGGCAGCTAGCTAGAGCTCACATTGTGACTGCAAGCACCAATAAGCAGAGTCAAAACAGAAGTAGGGAAGGCCTTAGGCTCTCAAAGCACCCCCCCCCCATGACTTGCTGCCTCAAGCAAGGACACACCTTCTAAAACTCCTCCAAATAGCACCACCTACTGAGACCAAGTGTTCAAATACCCTACATGAGGAGATGTTTCTCTTTCTGTTTTGAACTGCAATTCTTACCTTTGAGGAATTGGCCTTCATTTGATTAGCCTGTGGGCATGTGTGGAGGCATTATCTTGATTGCTGGTTTACTAGGAAGGCCCAGCTCATCCCACTGTGAGCAATGCTAATCCCAGGCAGATAAATCTGGGCTTTAGAAAAATTGGCTAAGCAAACGAGAGAATTGAGATAGTAAGTAGCAGTGTTCTTCCTCAACGGTCTCTGCATTAGTTCCTGCTTCCAGTTTCTTATCTTAAATTCTTGCATAGAATCTCTCTATGATAGTCAGTAACTTGTAAACAAAAACTCTTACCATTCCTCCCCACTTTGTTTTTGGTCGATGTTTTCTCCCAGCAACAGAAAGCAACTAGCACATGTGGATTGCCATAGATAGTCATTTTAATGTCACTATTACTTCAAGGATGTATTGACTTGGAAATAGCTGTCAGCTGAGAGTCATGCTATTTGACCTTGTTGCCCATTTGGAAATGCTAGGAGTGGGAAAGGTTGTCTACAGCAGACAGGCACTGCTGGGGATTAAGTGGTAGAGATTACGGAGTGCTAAGTATTCAGAAATACTTAACAACATATGGTGGTCCTAAGATACCAGGAATACTCTCTGGAGAAATTTGTTGAACTAAGGAGGAAGGGAAAGTGGCAAAATTGAAAATAACTTAAGTAACTTACATTCAGATGTTGATTTAAAAACAAAATAACAACAACAAAATGGACTTAAATGGAATTAAAGAGCACTTTGGTTACTCTTACCAGAGAACCCAGGTTCATGGTGCCTGTTCCAGTGGCTCTTCTGGCCTCCACTGGCCACACACACACACACACACACACACACACACATGTAAGCAGAACACTCACATAAAATTAATCTAAAATTAAAAAATCAAAAATTTGGCTTTTGGTAAGAAGGATGAAAGTTGCTTTTAATAGAACTTGGAAAACACTGAAGAGTTAGAGTAGCAGTGAGCCCTATCTCATAAACGCTACATACTGCCATATGGCTTGTATCTCAGCCTGTGCAGATTTAACTTAGTCATGGTTAATGGTTGTTGAAGCGTTAGTCTAGTCTAGCACAGGCTAGAAAACTAGGCTGCACATATCCTCACACTGTGAAGGAAGCTCACAGAAGTCTGGGTGCTCTGGACTTGCCTCAAACCAGATCCATCATAATCTCTGAGACGCAGGCTTTTTTTTTAAATTAATTTTTAATTATATTTATCCCAATCATACTTATAACATTATACTTGGGGTTTGGAGTGTGTGTGTGTGTGTGTTTCAAGTATATGTTCCACAAATGAGAGGAAAATGCTCCATTTCCTTCAAATATCACAATTTTAATCTTTATAGTTGAGTAAAATTTTACTGTGCATCTATGTATATTTTTATTCGTTAACTAGTTGATGGACAGCTATACTAGCTTTACATCATGGCTATTGTGTAGAGTTAAATAGTAATCATGGATGTACAAGTATCCCTGTGGTATGCCAACCTAGAACCCTTCATGCATACACACCTGGGCATGGCTATGGTGGAGTTAGTGGGAGGTTTTTTTGATTTGAGAAACCTCCTAACTTCCACAGATTCACATTTTACACTCTCAACATGGAAGAGTTTCTTTTCTCCCATGTGGTTGTCAGTGTTTGTTATATTTTCATTTTATTTACTTGTTTGTCTTGTGTTCAGATCTCATGTATCTTGGGCTGGCCTTGATCTGCCTCTCCTGTGCTAGAAAGGCAGGTGATTCTCCAACACCCATTCCATAAGGTGTTCTGGGGATGGAACATACGACTTCAGTGCGCTACTCATTGAGCTACATTTCCTTTGTTTTCTTGACAGCCATTCTGACTGGGGTAAAATTAAAGCCTAATAAATTCCAAAAATAAAAGGATTTTATTTTTTTTTTCCTTTATGGCCTACGATGTTGACCAGCATTTCCAGATGTTTATCTACTAGTGTGCTTTTTTTTTAATTTGGTTTTTCGAGACAGGACTAGTGTGCTTCTTGATTGGAGAATTATCTGTGTAGTTCTTGGATTCCATTGTTTATTGACCAGTCAGTCAGTCAGTCAATTGTATTGGTATGGAGTTTTGTAGTTCTTTATAAGTTCTTGATGTTAATCTTCTCTGATAGATGATTGGCAAGTATATTCTCCCATTCTCTAGACAGTCTTGTCAAGTTGCTGATTGTTCCAGTGTTATACAGAAGTGTTTAAATTTTATACAATCCCATTATCAGTTATTGCTGATATTTCCTTCCTGTTGAAATCCCTGTCAGAAAGTACTTGCACTACTTTGCCTACACTTTCTTTAGCAGTTTCAGAGTTTCAAGTCTTAAATATGACTTGATTTTTGTGAGAGGTGAGCTGTGCTCTGGTTTCGTTTGTTTCACACATGTCTGTGGAGTTTTCAAGCCATCATATCTCCAGTGGATGGTTGACATCTTTTTCAAAGATTAGGTGGCTGTGGTCATATTTCTGTGTCCTCTTTTCCGTCTCATTGGTCGAGCGTCTGTGTCAGGGCCATGTGAGCTTTGTTCTTCCTGTAGCTCTGTAGTTGAGAGTGGACATCAGGTATCAGGGGGCCTCCAGCTGAGATCATTTATGCTTCTGTACGCATTTCAGGAATTTCAGTGAAGCACATCACACACGTGTTGACGATGCCTCCTTGCCCCTCTGTCTACCAATTCCTCCAATACAATTTTCTTATATTTAGTCTATGTGTGTTCATGTGTCGGTTGTCTTTGTCTGTCTGTGACTGTCTGCATGTGGTGGTGGGATGAGGCATTGTGCAGTTAGCACTTGTCTAGTCATTAACACAGGCTGGCTATCAAACTTCCTCAGTCTCCTGAGTGTGGGGACCAAGCACCACCATTCCTAGCTAGGAAAACTAAGTTTTGAACAAAACAGTCGAGGTACCAGATAGAAGAAAATATTAAACTGAAATTACTTCTGTACACATTCCTTGTACACAGTTTTGTGTGATGGGGTCCCGGGTAAGGGCAGGGTAAGGAAGAACTTTCAGGTGGCTCACTATTTGACTCTTAACTTGATTGTAGCCTCCATGGTGTTGATTTGGATGTTGATTTGGAGAATATGGATTTTTCTATCTGTAGCATCACTTGCCGTGGTGTGACCCTGTCTCCGAAGTATGTGATAAAGACTACAGAAGTACTGGCCATTTCAGAGTAAGGTCCTAGATTCACTGAGAGTTTCTCAACAACGAAAAGATTTGGAAATTAGCTATTTCAGTGATGCTTCTAATTGTTGATTCTAACATGATTAATGTTTTAAGTATACATACAGCTTTTCATATTGTGATAATGATGGTTTGCACATCTTTGTAAAGCCTTAAATTAAAACAATGTGTGATTTTAAGTTCTGAGCTTTCAGGGCTGCTATGTCCTCAAATAGCATTATCAAATGAGTAACACTTTTTTTTTCTTTTTTTTTCTTTTTGGTTTTTTGAGACAGGGTTTCTCTGTGTAGCCCTGGCTGTCCTGGAACTCACTCTGTAGACCAGGCTGGCCTCGAACTCAGAAATCCGCCTGCCTCTGCCTCCCAAGTGCTGGGATTAAAGGCGTGCGCCACCACCGCCCGGCGTGAGTAACACTTCTTATGGTGGTGTTTTCAGCAGCTCTTGATTTGTGGTTGTTTGCATCTGCTCTCAGACTTTATTCTCTCTTATTCCCGTAGTTAGAGTGGTTCTCAGTCATACCTTTGTAGTCCGTACTTACTCATACATTACTTCCTGGTTTGAACAGAAGAAGAAAAAGAAACAAGCCTACCTCTTTGTTATATTTTTGTTTTGAGCAAACCTTTGGCATCTTCGTGGTATGAAGCAGAGTTATGCCATCTGTAGTGAACTGAGATTATTTTTTTAAAAGGTAGGAGGGGTTTGAAATGATCTGACAAGTTTAGCAGATTCTTAGGAAATGCTAAGATGGTCCTAGAAATGTTCTTGTTTGGTGTCACATGCTGGCTAGTTTGTCTGTTTATTACCGTTTTCTATTCTGAGAATCAGAGAGGTATTGTGCTAGAAAGAAGGAAGGCATACCAGGCAGTGCCAACTAGCAGAACTGCAGATGAGTAGATCATTTCCTCGGTGGGAATTGTTCCATCCAAGACAACAGGACATTTTGTTTGTGTTTAATTCGTGTTTAATTTCTGAATGGGTTTATGGGGCAAACCACCTCATGTTGATACATACTGGAAACAGAAGGACCAGTTGCTAGATACTAGTATTTGAGGCCTACCTATGAGCTTTCTTCAGGCTGCAGTAAGACATACCTTTAATCCCAGTACTCAGGAGACAGAGGCAGGGTATCTGTGTGAGTTTGAGGCTAGTCTTGGCTGTAGAGCAAGTTCCAAGATAGCCAAGGCCACACAGAAAAACTGTCAAAAAGCTCAACAAAGCAATCAAGCAAACAAAAAAGAAATCTGCTGTATTTAGAGCATGCTTTACTTAAGGATGTGTTTTAACAGAAATGTGTGGGTTGGTTTCAGGGAATAGTCCCAGCTTTCCATTTGAAGATTGCCTGAAACACGTTCTTTTTTGTCTTTGTTTTGTTTCAGAAAGAAGACATAGCTCATCTAGCAAGCCTTCCTTGGCTGTTCCTCACACTTCAGTATTTTCCCTCTTCCCTTCTCTGTCCAAAAGCAAAAGCGGTGGTGCCGGTGGAAGTAGCCGGCCTCCCGGTGGAGGGGTCCTTTGCTCATCCTCAAGCTCCAAGTTACTCAGATTACCCAAAGAGAAACTGCAGCTCAGGGGGAACATGAAGCCCATGCATCCCATGCAACAGACTAAAGTCCCCCATGGAAGAGTGTAAGTATGTCCACATGGGCTTGTAAGGCTTACCTTAGCTGCCAGGATGAGTCCTGTGTGGGAGCATCCAGGAGTGCCTGGGAGTCAATGGAGAGTTCACTTGGGGAGTTGAGGGACACTGTTAGCTCTTTTCTTTTTCCTACCTCAGGTTGGAAGCTATTCAAGTTATCACAGTATTAATAAGGCTAGTAATATTATTGATCCTTTCCTGTGTGAGTATTGAAAGTGAGCTGTATTTGTCTGTAATGTCATGTATTGGCCACAACATCCCTTTGAATATGTATTGTTAGACCTTTTTTCACATGGGTAAAGGAAGTACATGTGCAGATGCTTTATGTGCGGTCTTTAAGTCATAGAGGTCTGGGTTCGAATCCTACTTCTGTTGTCTCCCTAGTGGAAGTAAGGCACTAATTCTGGAATCTAAGGCATCAGGGTTTAAGTCACAGCAGTGAGGAAAAAAGACTGCAAGGAGTCTCACATCCATGGCTTCTTTGACAAGCTTCTAAATTGGGTCTGGAGCTAGGAGCTTTCTTGAGGTCACGTGAAGGAGCAGCAATATACTCTGGTTGAAGTGTATCTGTATCTTGCTTTGTCATGATACCTCGCAGCCTGATGGCAAGTAGTGTTTACTTGGCCTGCTTTCCTTTTTCTGGGAGGGTATGCCATACATTTTAACCCCAGTGTCTCAGAACCTTGGTTATCTCAGAAAAGAGCTGAGTACCTGCTATTGCTCAAGGACCTTGCCAAGTAGGGGGGGCCAGAGGAATTTGCAGTGACTGGGTTGTTGTCAGGCTATTCCAGGAACAGCCCTTCACCACCATCTGTCCTGGTTGCTGAACCCCCAGCGCCTGCTCATTGAGAACGAGCACAGGAAACTTGGCTTTCACTTCTATAGCTGTCTGAAAGCCACAGAAATGACAGGGCAGTGTTTAAGTCACTTGGCAGCTTAGCAGCTATTAGAGTACAGACTCCACTAGAGTTTGCAAACACTTACCCAAGCATCCATTGTCGAGCGAAGGCTCAGCAGGGCCCAAGTGAAGCCTTGGGGTTTTGCTAACATCACTTTTACCAGGCAAAATGACAGTTTCAGTAAGATCATAAGAAATCACTTTGTTAGTAGCACCGGTCTTCCTGCTCACCACCAGTTTCCAGTTGCATCAGTCCTAAGCTTGTGTCATAGGAGCCTGTGTTGAGGGATTGGAGAGCCCAAACAGTAACACATGATGTGTTGATTCAAGTCTTACTTGTCGGCAGCTGCAGAGTGGCTTCAGGGGACATTCGGTGTTGTGTTAGGTGTCTGCATTTAAGTTCTCACAAGACTCCCATGACTCATACTCTCATGTTTTAGTAATTTCTTTCATCAACATGATGGCTCTTGTGAGGGATTCCCCTGGGATTCTGTGGCATCATCTTGGTCCTTCTAGAACACTTCATGCTTTGCTACTTATAGAAACTGCATTGACTGTAGGGTCTGAGATTCTCATAGGTCTATGGGGGAAGGTTTCCAAAATAAAAGAGGTCAATTTTATACACTGGGCTTTTTGTCAGAAGGGATTACAAACTTGGCTAGCTGTGAACTCTCCTAGCTTTTCTTAGTGGTTCAAACAAAATGTAGAAGGCCTTCCCAGAGCCTGTGCATACTCAGGTAGAGCGAGACTCTGCTCCCATCCTACTGGAGTAACAGGGCTGTCTCTCATTTATTGCGTTCTCACTTTGCTGCAACAGCATGACGCCCTCTGTGAAGGTGGAAAAGATGCATCCGAAGATGGATGGCACACTACTGAAATCCACAGTGGGGCCAGCCTGTCCTGCTACTGTGAGCTCTGCAGTCAAGCCTGGCCTTAACTGTCCCTCAATACCAAAGCCAACCTTGCCTTCACCTGGACAGATTCTGAATGGCAAAGGGCTTCCTGCAATGCCAACTCTGGAAAAGAAATCTGAAGACAGTTCTAGTAACAGGAAGTTTTTAAATAAGAGATTATCAGGTAACATCACAGTTCTCTCTTAAAGCTTCTGTGTATAGTAAGTTGGATGTACAGATTTTAAATGAAAGGCCTTTTTAAAGCTGGTCGAGTTGAGCCGTGGGTTTATGGTAGACCTGTCTTTACTCATGGTTTTAAAGAGCATACTTGCTTGTATGTGTACTCACTCAATCTCTGCATGGAAATTTGTTCTCATGATTTTTCTGAATATAGATACTCTTATGCAAAGTAAATAAGCAAATATTATTCCAAGCATCTGATAGTAGGTTCTCTCCAGTGAGGACAATGTTTACTACAATACTTATACCTCATCTGCAGTGTATTCATTAATAATGTGGCACATTGTATTATGGCTATAATTTGTGTATCTTGAGATTCCTCTTATTTAAGCTGAAGTCAGTATTCGGTACATCCACTGCAGTAGTGTTTGTTTGTTTCTGACAGAAAGAGAATTTGATCCTGACATCCACTGTGGGGTCATTGATCTGGATACCAAGAAGCCCTGCACCAGGTCTTTGACTTGCAAGGTAGGTGCCTTTTGAAGGCAGAAGTGAAGGCTGTTGTGTACAGGGTTGTTGACAGTACCATACCATACCATTCACACATCTGTCTGACCCATTGTGGAGCCAGTGCTTGCTGGCTCCCCTGGGTTGTTTAAATTAAGTAATCTGTTTATGATTAAGAAAAAAAAAACAAATTGACAAAGCATGATGCGAGTTAGCATAACTTTTACCTGTGAGCAAAGCTTTGCTTTTATTTTTTAATTTATTTTGGTGTGCATGCCTTTGTGTCTGAGCACCACAGCACACACATTGAGGTCCAAGACATCTTGCGGTAGTCAGAAAGTTAAGTTCTACCATCATTTTTAGGTGTCCTTACTGATTTTTGCTTGTTTCTTTATTTTCTCTTTCCCGTTCTTTTCTGGGTGTGTTTAGGTCTTGTGAGGTCAGCGGATAACATAGAAGTTGGCCACTTTCTTAGTTAGGGGTTCATTGCTGTAAAGAGACAACATGACCAAGTCAACTCTTATGAAAGAAACATTCAATTGGGGCTGGGTTACAGTTCCCAAGGCTTAGTTCATTGTCATCATAGCGGGAAGCATAGCAGTGTGCAGGCAGACATGGTGCTGGGGAAGGAGCTGAGAATTCTACATTTGGATCCAAAGGCAGCCAGGAGAAAACTATCTTCCACAGGCAGCCAGGAGGAGCCTGAGCCTAGGACCTCAAAGCCTATCCCCACAGTGATGCACTTCCTCCAACAAGACCACACCTCCTAATGGTGCACTTCTCATGGGCCAAGCAAACACATGAGTTGATGGGGCCAAAACTATTCAAACCGTCACATTGCTACCATTTGGCTTCTGAGTATCAACCTCTGGTCATCAGACCTGGTACCCTTCTCCATCAAGCTGTCTGACTGGCCCAAGTAATTTTAACTTAAATTTCAGATTTAATTATTGTGAATAGCTTTTTCCAGCAGTGGGACTTTGCAATGTGGTCTTCCTGCTCAGGTTGCTCTTGGGTTGCTGGGCTTAAGATACCCTCATGAGTATCAGGACTGCTGTCCTGCAGCTGCCATTCTTATCACAACAGGACATTCAGAAGTTCTGGGAAATTTTAAACCCTTAAATGTCTAAATTTTCAAAAAATCAGGAGCTGTTTTCTAATTAGGGAAATATAGCACAGGTATTCTGATGCCTGCATTCTCTCTTGGGTGGGTGGACACCTTTGACCTAAGTCCAGATCTACCCTCAGATCTCTCAGAGAAGCTCACACCTCAAATAACTGTGCTTGCCTTTCATGGAGTACTATTTGAGTAATATAATTGTATGTTGCTGTTGGTTTTTGAAGGTAGTCACTTGAGTCTGTCACAGTTTGAGCTGTGATTAAATACACTTACGAAAGCATTCCTTACCTACACTCCACACCATGATGGTAACTTTGTCTCATGTCTGTCCCTCCAGCTTACATGACTGTTTGTAACTCAGAGTTGCCCAGAAATATGTTACTTATTTATCTAAGATTTGCTTTAAAATGAACCATAAAGCAGATGATAGGGCAGAATTCTTCTTTTCTTTTATATTTGCATTGTGGTTAGCTCACCTGACCTTTTTCTAGTATTTTCAAGTGTAGAAATACAGTGTTGTTGACTGTTGGCACTCTGCTGTTCAGCACACATCTGGGCCTTAACTCATCTTCTTAACTCAAGTTCTATGTATGTCGATGTTACTCCCCTGCTGTCCCCATGACCTGAATAACTCTTGAGTTTTGTGAATTTGAATGTTTTATATTCCACATGTCAAGGAATCATGAAGTAAGTGTATTTCTGTGCCTAGTTTCTTTTAGCTTACGTTGGCAGAAATTTAGTATTTCAATTCTGTTGAAAGGCTGAATAATATCCCATTGCAGAAATGTACATATTTCCTTTACCCACTCATCTGTTAATGGGCTTCAGCTCATTTCCACATCTTTGTAAATATCACCTTGATGGACATGGGAGTGCTAAAATCCCTGCAAGGCCTCAAGTTCATTTCTTTTCATAACTACCCAAATTGCCTGAGGGTATGGAGTACAAAATCTGCAGGGAGTTTCATTCTATTCTTTCTGCACCTTCCTTGCTAGGTGACCTGCTTTTGTATAGATATATGCCATCTTCCTTTTTCAGAGAGTGTGTGTTGTTCTGTGTTATGGATGTCACTACTATTGTTAGCATGGTGCTAAGCTTATTGTCACATTCATTGTGTGTTTAGCCCGTATTGTCAGTTCAGCATGAGACTGGTAGAAAATGCAACCTCCAGTTAGGCCATGTCTTAGTTAGGGTTTTACTGCTGTGAACAGACACCGTGACCAAGGCAACCCTTATAAGGACAACACTTAATTGGGGCTGGCTTACAGGTTCAGAGGTTCAGTCCATTATCATCAAGATGGGAGCATGGCAGCCTCCAGGAGTTGAAAGTTCTACATCTTCATCTGAAGGCCACTAGAAGACTGGCTTCCAGGCAGCTAGGATGAGGGTCTTAAAGCCCAAGCCCACAGTGGCACACCTCTTCCAACAAGACTACATCTACTCCAACAAGGCCACACCTCCAAATAGTGCCTCTCCCTAGGCTAGGCATACTTCAACCTCCACAGGCCTGGACCTTGACATGAGCCTTTACTGCCTCCCATTGTTCTGTATGTTCTCATTTTCTTTTCTTTCTCTTTGGCCCAGTACTGTGAATTATGCCTGAAGACACTACCTCCATGCCCACAAGTTGATGCCAGGCTAGTGTGACTCTGTGCAGGGAAATTTGTAACTGTTGGCTTTTGTCCTTCCGCTTACCTGGTTATTATAGCAAATACCTTTCTGTTGCACACAACTGTAAGCACAAGCCTTATTTGAAGTACCATAGGATACAGGGTTTAATACAATCAATGCATGTTTTGGACCTTACAATCTGATACAGAAAACAAAGATTTAGTTACTCATAAGTACAGTCACCACTATATAGCATATTACTACTGATGGTCTATAGACAGGAAAAGACTTGAGTTATGAAGGCCTATATAGTATGAAGATTGTAAAGCCTCATAGCCATAGAAACATGGATTCTGATTATGTGGGCAGTGAGGGGGTCAGAGAAAATAAGATGCCCAGGAAGCTGAACAGAAAGACGGGAAAGCAGGTAGTACATGTACTCAAATAGCAGAGAGCAGCAAGCAGGGGCCATAGAGCATGTGAGGCTCCTCACAGCCAACATACACAGCCATCCTTCTTTGTGTCTGAAGCAGCCTCAGCAGAGTTGTGACTGCCATGGTGAAAGGCGGTCACCATATTTCTATCTGGAGTGTGCTCCAGAGCTCCATGGAAATCCTGTTTACTCTTTAGACAGGGCTGCTACCGTATCATCTTGTACTTCTGCATTTGGCTTTACTATGCTAAGCAATAAAAGATGTTCAAATATTAGGAGACATTTGTCCATCAACCTAGGGAGACAGATATTACCAATATTTGTGCATTCATTCTTTCTACATTGGTGGGCCATTGTTTTTACATGCCTCTTAAAATCCTTTATGTGTATGGGTGTTTTGTTTGGATTTATATGTGTACACCACACCCATGGTGTCAAATCTCATGGGACTGGAGTTTCCGACGGTTGTGAGCTACTGTGGGTGCTGGGAGTGGATCCTGGGGCCGGTAGAAGAGCAGCCAGTGCCACTTAACGTCTGAGTTGCCACGGCAGCAAAGGTCTGTATATAATTTTTGGTTGAAGTTTTATTAAATGGTAGATACTATTCTAGGACCTGGTATAATGATAAACAGAATAAAGTTCTTTATTTTCGTTTAAGTTGCTTTCTTATAAATTTATTACATATTATCAGAAATTGAGAGAAATTGGGAAGTAACTTCATGTGTGCCAGGCCAGATCATTTGCAGTCAGTCACCTGAGCTCCTATGAAAGTCAGAGGCATAACTCCCCTATATGCAGCTCGAATTTGTTGCCACCATGCTGTGTAGAACCTTATGTTACTACACTTGTTTAAGGAATGCAGGGAGTCATAAATACATACAGAGAAACTACCAATCTTGGAATTCTGTAACCTAAAAGAAAGGTGGAAATGTTTAGATTAATTCACTATACTTAGAAAGGTGATGGGGCTCTTGGAGTTAATGGAGTCAGTCATCTGCTTCTGAGGATTGCTGTCTGTCGGCTTTTGTACAGACCCAAGTGGCAGCAGTATTAGCAGTAGGAGAGGAACTGTGCCATGGAGAATGATTTTTATGGTGGTTGGACTTGATAGTCAGTGAGATTGACTTAACTCTGATCACTCTCGAAGCTTCACCTTTGTCTACTGGTGGGCTTTGGGTGTGTGCTTTCAAAGGCTCCCGGAGCTACCAGGTCACACTGCCCTTCCAGAAGACTGAGGTGAACTCCCAGCACCTGCCTGGCATGTGTGGCTTTCAGCTTTCTGTATCTTGATTCCAAACTTTCTGACTTCTTCAGGGCGTTGCATTCACCTGCAGATACCCATGTATAGACAAGGACATGATTGAATGTAAAATTCATATTTAAAAATATTAGCGATTATCAAATACATTTGGTATATAGATGTTTTCTTGTAAGATATGATCAAGGGTTGCCTTATACCATGTTGTCTGCATGCCTGTTTCCTATGTTTCTAGTATTTACTGCATTTCTGTCTCTTCTTGTCTTTGTCTCTTCTTATCTATGGTTCTTTTTCTTTCTGCCTTGAGTTCTTTTTCTCAAGTCTCTCTTGGCTTCCCCAGACTGTCTCTACAATACTCTGAGCTCCCTTCTCTCTTTACACTTTATTTCATTAGAATAGAGAAAAGCAGTTATGTTTAATTTTTGTCCTCAGTTACTAAAAGAATGCTTTATCAATATATGTTTTAAATTAATAATCACAATTTTAAATCATCTCATTTTTAAATGAAATTCACAAGAGACTGAATGAGTAAGCTGCTTCAGTTGCACAGAACACGAGCACCTGCCCTTCGCTCTGCTTGAAACTCATTTCTGTGCCCTGTCCTACAGCTAGAATATGTGAGTCCAGCCTCACTGAAGAGAGAAGGTTTCTGTTCAGTGAAGTGGACACGTCTCATCTTTGCACAGCTCTGGGTTGCTTTTTTTATGGGGAAATGTTTGGAGATATACAGCATGTTAAACTTAATCACTGAAACTGCTTGGTTTTTTTTGTGTGTGTCTGTCTTTGTAGACACATTCCTTAACCCAGCGGAGAGCTGTTCAGGGTAGAAGAAAACGATTTGATGTGTTATTAGCCGAGCACAAAAACAAAGCCAGGGAGAAGGAGCTGATTCGCCATCCGGACTCTCAGCAACTACCACATCTACTCAGGGACCCGCATCCCACCCCTCCTAGGACGCCCCAGGAGCCACACCTTCCTGCAGAATCAAAGCCTTTCTTAGCTAGTAAACCGAAACCTCATACCCCTAGTCTTCCAAGGTAAGCTGAGCCTCCAACCCTGTGTTCTTCCTTTAGGGAATGACTGTACAGACAGCACGCACCCTGTGTACCCCTCCACCTTTTGGGCAGCTGTGTTGTCAAGAGTGTGGTCTGGCCGGGCGGTGGTGGCGCACACCTTTAATCCCAGCACTTGGGAGGCAGAGGCAGGAAGATTTCTGAGTTCGAGGCCAGCCTGGTCTACAGAGTGAGTTCCAGGACAGCCAGGGCTACACAGAGAAACCCTGTCTTGAAGAAAAAAAAAAAAAAGAGTGTGGTCTGTATCACTGTCATGATAGAACTGATGTTTTTTGAATTGGGTTTTACTAGAAAAACTGTTTACTCTTCAGTAAGTTTTGACCAGGGCTCAAAATTATAGACATAAACACTAGCATAAAGCTAGAACTGCCTGCCCTGTGGTGTTCTATATCTGGTTTTTCTTAACCCTGTGAAGCAGAGCTCAGACTGGGTCTTGCTTTTCAAGTTTCAGATTGCTCTGGCCATTTGATTTTGACTCTTTGTAGTAATGAAAAAGCTTGAGGACAAGCTTTTAATAGCATCTGTTTATCAACATGTGTTTTCATTCACTCATTTGGGACTTTGTCTTGAACACAAAGGAGGCATTTTAACAGCATAAAAAGCAATGTGTCAGGATACTTTAACAAGACTTTACTGTGCACACAACTCCAGAGACAGTGATGAGAGAATATATCTGTGCTTACCCTCCTTTAAGCAAGTTGAAGTGAAGGACTTTGGATCGATTTGGGAACAGAGGTGATGGGAGTATGAGGAGCTTCAGTGTGATTGGCTAGCAGCCAGCCACAGGCTCTTGCAGGTGTGGCACCCCTGACTGCTGCTATGTCCTTTCACCCTCTTGTATCCTCTGTCAGTTTAGTTATACTTGAAATGTCAGGACAGCCTGACATGAGCCCTGTAGTTCAGAAACAAGGCAGTAGACACTGGTTAGTGGAGGCTTCCAAGAATACTGTCAGGTCTCGCACCACGATTCTGTAGTATGTCCTTCCTTTTGGCATCTTCTCAATGAAGAGTCATCTGAAAGGTCAGATTTACTTGGAAACCACTAAGTCATAATAGATGTAGGAAGGAAAGATGTTCAGACTGACCTTGGGAGGTAAACGTGCTGCCTCATTCTTCCTCTCCTCCTGTCCCTTTCGGTTATGCTAGAGTACTTCGTCAGCTAATGTGTTTGTCACTATGTAAGTCAAACGCTCTGACATCTTCAAGAGATGTGCTCAGCAGTCCATGGAAGAACCCTCTCCAGTTCCATGTGTGTTCCTCTCTTGGGGGACTGAAATGGCTGGGAGGGAGGCAAAGTTCTCAGCTGCCTTTGGTTTTGTGTCGCAGACATTCACCTACCTTAGAATAGTGATGCTGAGGAGAGCTGTGTGCCCACTTTCCCCTGAGCCAGCTCACTGACTGAGGGCTGCTGGACCCTGTCCCCTCCATCCTCTGTGCTTTTAGGTGTGTGCGAGGTAAAGCTGCTGAGGAGAGGAGTCAGCTGTGCCGTCTGTTCTGAGCTGTGCTGTACTGTTTACTCATTCAGGCCTCCAGGCTCCCTCGCTCAGCAAGGAGGGAGCACCCCCATTGACCCTCCTCCAGGCCATGGGTCTCCACACCCACCCTTGCCTGCCACTGAGCCAGCTTCTCGGTTATCCAGTGAGGAGGGTGAAGGCGATGACAGAGAAGAGTCTGTTGAGAAACTGGACTGTCACTATTCAGGTCGTCACCCTCAGCCAGCATCGGTGAGCTGTGTGTGCATCCTCGTGCATCCCCCTGCATCCACATGTACTGGCCTCCCCAGTGAAGCACGGGCAGGGCACTGAAGGGCACGGATATCTGGCTGTGGCTGTGTGTGTAGCACCTTAGGGTGCTGTGTGTCCATTCTGCACTTCGCAGACTTTTTCTTCTCTCTTCCCCAAAACTGCATTGCTGTTGCCATGGCTTCTGGCTTCTGACACTTGAGGCATCCCAGCCCTGCCTTTTCTCTGATGTTTTTTTTTTTTTTCTTTCTTGACCATGAAAGAACCTAGACCTCTGTGCTGGCAGCAGAAATGACACACGTGTACTCTGTGCTCTCTTTCAGTTTTGCACATTTGGGAGCCGGCAGATTGGAAGAGGTTATTACGTGTTTGACTCCAGGTGGAACCGGCTTCGCTGTGCCCTCAACCTCATGGTAGAGAAGCATTTGAATGCACAGCTATGGAAGTAAGTGTCTTTTGTTGGCTAAAATGGGGGTGACTTGACCTGCCCCAATAATGTATTTTCTTGATGGCCTCAAGTTGTGTTTTTAAGACTATGACATGGTTATCTACATGAGAAATGGCCACTGGCTAAATGTAGAAAGAAAGTACTTTCTCTTTAATACATTGATTTAGTCTTTGAGCAACCCCATCGTGTTCTGGGCACAGGCGCTGCAGCTGGAAGGACTCCACATGCACAGACCTCCTCATATAGTTAGACATGCAGGGGAACAAAATCTGTGAAGTAAGAGAGATACTGAAATAAAAAAAATGGCCACTGACACAACTGCAGGGTGCTAACTACGTGTTAGAGACTTTTATTCCCACACACAAGTCTTTGCTACGTGACTATAATTACACTTTTTTCCTTGTTATATTTTAGTTAATGAAACAGATACAAAGTCACACAATAGATTAGCATGAAGCCACTAGGTTCAGTTTGTTTCCGAACAGAGCTGAGATGGGAAAACAACAGGCTTGGTTCACAGAAAGGTTTTCTGCGATGAATGGGTCTGGAAGAACTGTCACTAGAACGTGAGCAGTATTGAGTTTCAGGAGTGTGTACCTAGTCAGAAAAGGTGATGACTTGTTTGAGAAACAGCGAGAGAGGGAGAGGGAGAGAAGAAAGGGAGGGGGGGTATAAAGCTTTGGTTTTGGGTATGCTGAGATGGAATGTAGGATCTTGGGCAGAATAGCCAAGCACTCTATCACTTAACTATATCACCCCACCTTTGAAACATCTTGACTAGCATTATGTATCCTCATGTTTACTAAATAGATTATAAGAAGGGATCCTTGGTCACAAAAACTTGAATTCACCATTTCAAGTAAGCTTATTTTTATGCAACACGTCTCCAAGACATTTTGCAACTGTCAAAGCAGGAGATATTTTTGTACACTGAAGAGCATTTCTAAAACTCTTTGACCCAGGAATGTCTTTTAAAAGAATAGTTTGGAGAAGCTTGTATTCAGTGAGATATTTTATTACAGGGGACTCTCAAGTCATCCCCTGTCCATCCAAGAACCACCATTGGCTAGCACTTTTTAAATGGACGATAGGGAGGCCATTTGCTTACATGGTTTGGTATTTTGGTAGCCAGATACAAATGGTTGGAGCCTTAGTCTCTCGTCAAAAAGTTCATTTCTATGACTGTTGATAGGACCTGAATTTGTGTATTTGGCAAGTAGGACTTAGGGCAGCAGCATGGCTCTGCTTCCCTCCTGCTTTCCTTTTAGTGCGGCAACAGTGCTCCTTCCTGCCCTGACACCCTTCCTGCCCTGGTAAGCAATCCACAGCCAGTGCTGGAGCAGAGATGGTTTTGGTTCCTAGTGGCTTGTGTGGACAAGTGCCATGAACTTCTGAAAAAGCAAGTTTCTGAGGTTGGTTTGGGTGTCTGCTCTAGCAGGGTCTGTCACTCCTTCTGTTCTTTAACATGACCTCTGGTTTAAGCCTCAGTCTTGTCATGGAACCACAAATGACCTTGAATTTATGCTCTCCCAGTGTCTACCTTTTGGGTGCTAGGATTGCAGGCACACCTTGGCTGGTTTTATGTGTTGCTGTGGATCAAACCCCCAGCTTTATGTATGTTCTGCCAACTGAGTTACATACATCTCTAGCTCCATGACCTCTGTTTTTAAAAATCAGTGAAGCAATGCGGAACATGTGTGTTTCAGTGATGAGCAAATAGAACGGTCTTGAGTTAGATAGGAATATGGATTGAGACACAACCACAAGTATTCTAGAAATGCCCTTCAAGACAGGAGTGCTGTAAATTGATGTCTAGGCAGCTCATCCTCACAGCCCTTCATATACTAGGTGAGTTTAGCACTTCTCACCCAGACAGGAATTGCCCAGAGGGGCTCTGAGAGCCTGAAAGGTATTTATTATCACAGTGTTCAAGGTCCTATCAGACTGCCTCAGCAGAAATTCTTTATGGGAAGAGCCCTATTTTTTGTTTTGTTTTGTTTTGTTTTGTTTTGTTTTGTTTTGTTTTGTTTTGTTTTTCGAGACAGGGTTTCTCTGTGTAGCCCTGGCTGTCCTGGAACCCACTCTGTAGACCAGTCCGGCCTCGAACTCAGAAATCCGCCTGCCTCTGCCTCTGCCTCCCAAGTGCTGGGATTAAAGGCGTGCGCCACAGCCCATTGGAAGAGCCCTATTTAAAGGAGCATTCTTATCCCCTTACCCTTTAGTTGCTTATTCTAATAAACGGGTATCAGTAGAGACAGAAGGTGAACCTAAAATACGTCCCCTGTAGTTCCTGGGTGCTCTGCACAGTTGTGGAGTTTGACCAATTCTTTTTCTGGAGCAATGCCGTGACCCAAAAGCCATCTCGAGCTCCTGTGACTTCTGTGTATCCTAGCTCTATATTGATCTGGGAATGGCCTGGGCTGTCGCCCAAAGGTATTTTTACAGTTCAGAATGTCAGTTCTCCTGCCTTCTACCTTCCTGTTTCCACATAGAGTTATTAATTAAATATCTGTTATTTTCTTGAATACCTTTACTTAGCTTTTTAGAGCCTTTAAAAAGAAAAAGCAGTTGATTATTTCAAGATGTCCAGATACCTACAGAGGAAGACTTTCTCCCCAGGATTTCAGGCAGCCTGGTTCTTAAATCTCAGCCTTGTGAGCCATCTAGTCGCCATTGTCAGTCACTGCATCCAGTGAGCAACCTACTCTTGAGTCTCACGAGCCACCTAGTGGCCATAGTCAGGTACTGCTTCCAGTTAGCACCCCACTCTTGAGAGCTAGCCTGGGTACCTTGTTTAGAGAATGATTCTGTAGCATTTGACTGAGGCCTAGAATTCACATTGTTAACAAACGTCTTAAGCAATACTTGTGTGTCTCACAAGGATAGAGCCAGGCTTCCCAGTGTGGGATCCACACTGCAGTCTGTTAAAAGAAATCTGAAAACCGACTGACATCTATGTACTATCCAGAAATTTCCTGTATCATAAGTATCATCATTTGGCTCAAGAGATGTCATCTCAAGCCTCGAGTGTTTGGGATCATGGCCTGCACCCTCTGTCCAGCTGCTACCACCTGATCTTTAATGCTGTTGTCAGACATACTAGGTTTTCTGGTTCTTTTATGCTGTCACATTTTTTTTTAAACTTGGAGCTAAAATAAAAGGGAGATCTCCTGTGTTTGACTCTCCAAATAGATTTCTCAACCCCTACAGAGAGAGTACTTTGCCTAGACATTAGAAACAAAATACTTTGTTATAACACCCAAACAAGTCCCCCTCGGATTTGTCTCTTGTGCAGTGTCCTGGCTAATAATCATAGTCGCCCGATGATCAAGTAACTCATTATTGCTTGAGTCTTTTTACTGTTCGAATACTATACTCCAGGCCTTATCTATAAAATGGTACATAAGGTATCTGTTACAACATCTGCAAAGAAGTAGATGATTTACAGTCACATATTAAAAGTCATTTCCAGGCCTCAAAATCTATCACCAGGGGCCTTAGACAGATACAGACAAGGCATGATGATCAGGGCAGACTTGTTCAGGAAGCAATGAGTTGAGCGTTCTTTCTTTGTGACCTGTGCTTGAGCCATAAGAAAAAGTGCTTGCTAAAGACCAGCAGTGGAGGTCTGAAGCTAGGGTTGTAACGTGTGAGCCATGCATACACAATGTGTTTCCACGGTCCCCAGGAAGCATAAAGAATTGGAAGGAAAGATACATCAGAATTGAGTTTGTGTTTTAGATTGATCTTTGTCAGAGTGTGTTTCTCAGTGACAAATATAAACGAGTGCCCATCTATAACCATCCATGGCAGTTGTAATAGTGCTTACTATAGTTAGTGACCACTATGGTCATTATCACCCATAATAATCTCCTTTTTACAGGAAAATCCCACCAGTGCCCTGTACCACATCACCTGTTTCTGCCCGTGTTCCTCACCGGACAAATCCTGTGCCGACATCACAAGGTGGGATCAGCTACCTAGCAGCAACCACTGTCTCCTCACCTCCAGTCCTGCTGTCATCCACCTGCATCTCCCCAAATAGCAAGTCGGTACCAGCTCATGGAACCACGCTAAATGCACAGCCTGCTGGTTCTGGGGCGATGGATCCTGTGTGCAGTATGCAATCCAGACAAGTATCTGCTTCATCCTCATCCCCCTCCACACCCTCTGGCCTTTCTTCAGTCCCCTCTTCCCCTCTGTCCAGAAAACCTCAGAAATTGAAACCTAGCAAGTCTATAAGGCCCAAGGAGTCTTCTGCGCTCAGTACTAACTGTCACAATGCCAGTAGCAGTACCAGTGGTGGCTCAGGAAAGAAACGCAAAAACAGTTCCCCACTGTTAGTTCATTCTTCCTCCTCTTCGTCATCCTCCACTTCCTCTTCTCATTCCGTGGACTCTTTTAGGAAAAACTGTGTGGCTCACTCTGGGACTCCATACCTGTCAACAGCACTATCTTCCCACAGTATCGGCCTCAACTGTGTGACAAATAAAACACACTCAGTGAGCCTCCGGCATGAGCAGGTGGCGCGGGGTCCCGCTGGTGTGAGCCCTGCAGAGCCCATCAAGAGGATGAGTGTAATGGTGAACAGCAGCGACTCAACTCTCTCTCTGGGCCCGTTCATCCATCAGTCCAGTGAACTGCCTGTCAACCCACACTCACACACTCCTCTAGACAAACTCATAGGGAAGAAAAGAAAGTGCTCCCCAGGCTCTGGCACCGTTGGCAACAGTGGCAGCAAACCTACGAAGATTGCCAAATTGCCAGCTATGAACAATGTCCACATGAAACACACAGGCACCATCCCAGGGGCACAAGGATTGACGAACAATTCCCTCCTCCATCAGGTAGGAAGTGGACTCTGATCTGGAAATGATTGTTGCCTCTTTCTTTGAGGACTTTGGCCAGTTCTGAAAACTGTGGTTGGGTTGGTTGGTTTGCCTATAGTGGATGCCCAGCTTTCATGGTAATCTTTAACAAAGGAGAGTCTATGTCCATGTGAAGGGGAATCTCCATGAAATATCCAATGCCTTTCAACGATGTTCCTGAATAGAGAAACCAAACATTCACTTAGCATCTAGGTCTGGGGAAAGCATCAAGTATGAAAGGTTAGTTAGAATTAGAAGGGGTTTCCTTTGCCCAGGCAGAGTTGGTATCCTGATGCTGTAAGAGGTGGAAGCAGAGAGCATTTTCAGCCTGCATAGTCATTCTAGTATGTTCCCGTGAAGAAAGCCAGGCTGAAATCAAAACCATCTAGTAAGCAATGACTTAAGACCTTAAAAAAAAAAAAAGAATGTTTTTCATCTTGAGCAATTTCAGATATTCTGGTTAAATCCCACCCCTTCTATTTTCAAGGGAGACAGGAAAGAAGATTTAGTGTTGGCATGGCTGAGACTTGAAAGCTGCTCCAAGTGCATACTTAAGGAGAAATGGATTGCAATCCACTTAGAAGGAGGTGGCTCATTGGGTTCAGCGTGGTCATGACTTGCTTGTGCTGTCTTGTCTGTTCCTTGCCTTCTGTTGGCTTCTTCTGTCTCTCATGCAGTGCTGTGTTCCAGCTTCTTTTGCCCCACTTCCAGCTCATCTTGCATCTTGTTATGTCATTCATCAGGATATCTTCTCTCCTTGCTTACGAACAGGAATTGCAGCAGCAGCAGCACCCCAGAGCCCTGACTTAAAAAGTGAGGCTCTCTTTTATGTCATTTTCCGTTTTCCTCATCCTCAGAACGTAACTGCTTAAGGCTTTTTCAGGAAATATGAAGGCACTTCTTGTTGTAATTTATTTGTTTCTAATATTTGTATGAATTGATAATGTCAGAATTACTGGGGGAGTTAGCTACTTACGAAGTGGCCGCTTGCGTTGTTGGGTTTTGAACAGGGGTACTGCAGATGTGAACTTTGCTTTTATGTGTTTTGTAGTTATTCATATAGTTACGATTTGTATAAGTACAAATACACCAAGAAACAATATACTCATCTCTTAAAACTCCCTTTGAGTATAGTGTCCTGTTGGCCTACGACCTCACAGGAGAGGTATTAGCATCTTTCCACGTTTGTAGCATATTGTACACTGTCTTCATTTAGACCATTACATTTGTGTACGCCTTACTTCTCCCCACAGGTAGCTAATGTGAGAGATGAGGATGGAGGTGGTCATTCTAGACTGCAGGGACTAGCAGTGCTTAGGGAGGTTCTGGGGGAGTGTTGTCCACTGCTATGTAGCAACTCTTCCCTGTCTTGTCACCAGTTTAAAGAGAAAATGCAGAGCTGAGCTCACATGTGAATTTTCTCCTTTACCCCTCTTTTAAAAGTCTGCTATAGCCTACATACCTGTTGGACAAATTTGGGTCATGATCTGCCAATTTTCCCTCTGCCTTTTATGATAGGGTTGGGGCTTGTCTTCCAAGAAGACCAGATAGTCTTTAAGTTTAGATTCTTAAAATCAATCTCAACTCAAGATTTCGTTATGGAAAGATTTCCTCTGTTGAGGATGTTTTTGGTTTTGGTTTTTAATTATACTTCACAAATCCTCGGAACCCTGTGGCTTGCAATCAGAGGGCATATGTGAACCTTACAAACTGTTTTTCAACTTTATCTGTCAGTGGGAGGAATCTTACAGCTGCATACAAAATCCGAACTCATGACTTAAAAGCACTTTAAAGAATGCTATTCCTAAAACCAGGCATGGTGACACATATCTTAAATCTCAGCATTCTAAAGACAGAAGCAGGCAGTTCTCTGAGTTCGAGGCTAGCCTGGGCTACGTAGCAAGTTTCAGGATAGCCAAGGTTACCTTGTCAGAGAGACCTTGTCAGAAAGCAAAATAAACACTTTATGTAAAGAAGTAGAAATCACAAGTTTTCTGTCTCTTGTGGAGAACAGTTTTAACACAGTGGTGCTTGGGTTGGCTAGTCTCTGAACAGAAAAGTGAAGTGCGGAGCCCAAGGCACAGCAATGTGTAGCCCCTCCCTGACCCTGCAAATGTGTTTTTGCTTGGCTTCTAGACTTTAATTTACCTCATGGGAAGGCCAGAGTTCCCTCTCTATGCTTTGGGCAGGTCCTTGGATATAAACCGCCACACCTGTGTGTTAGCACATGGAGTTTTGTTCTGAATTAACAGCCTAGAATACCTTCAAGGACATAAGTTTAAAAAAACAAACAAACAAAAACTCCAACTTAGATTAAAAGGAAAACTTGAGAGGTGGAATCCCAGACAGCTGTTTCTTGTTGCCCATTTTTATGAAGTTTGTCTTTACAAAGCTTCAAGCTGGTCCTGTGATGGCTCTCTCTGGCCCCAGGAGGTCAGTGGAACTTAGGAATGGGATATCTTTGTGTAGAATTGGGAACATGGCATCTAGCTACTTACTTACGTATTTCCTCATCCCCTCTGTTTTGAAAGCCAAAGGCACGACCCTGACAGCTGACAGTACCACTGGACGGAATAATCCAGACATTTTTGAAGACAAGTTACACCTCTGCTCAGCACTCTGGACTCCACGATGCCTTTGAGTGTCTTTTTCTAAACTCCTGTGGGCCTTCAGGGTAACCTCTGGCTGTTTGACAAGGATTTCCCGAAGCTGTGTCTGTAGCAGTGAGTACACGTAAAGGACACTGGATCAAGTTCAGCCACCGGATTGCTTTCTCAGTGTTAACAGTGGTCTGGACTGCTTGCTACCAATCTGTGAGAAGTTTTTGTTTGTTTTGTTTTTGTTTTTTCATTTTGAGCATATCATGGAGCCACTCTTGAAGTAGATTGGCTGGGCAAAGAATGTCTTGGCAAGAGCGTTTCTGTAGACTCTCCTCCCTCTTTCTCTGCCAGAATGTTTTTGAACACATTCTCATCTGTAAGTCAGTCTCCAGAAGTTAGTCACCTTACCTGGAGACTGGAGGCCTTCCAAAGAAAGGGGAGCGAGTTGCATCCTGAGTAGCCAACCTCCTAGAGGATATTTGGCTTTAGATTTTTTTTTTTTTTTAATCGCAGTGTTCAGAACTAGTATACTAAGATATTGGTCAATGCATCGTGACATAGTAGCCCAGCCCTTTTCAAGTAATTTGGGATAAGAAGCTTATCAAATTCTTCAGACTTAAGAACTGGCTTGAAGCTGGTGATGCCTGGATATTAAGGTTAAAGTATCTCCAAAGCTTAGTTTTCATGGTACAAAAGCATGTGTGATAAAAAAGAGAGGAAGAGAGGAAGAATGAAGAAAAGAGAGACGGACAGAGACACGGAATGAAAAGCCAGTTGGGACACTGGATTCAGGGAGGTGAAAAATCTTAAAGTGAGGCAAAATGTGTAGGATTTCCAAAGAGACTGACTCGATTGTTACTGTGTTCATTGAACAATGTGTCAGATTGGGGTGATTGTCTTCCTCGGTCTGCTTTTTAAGATCTGCCTTTTTAAAAGTTATTATCATGTCCTTAAATTTTCCAAGGCATTACTCCCATTTCCTCTTTCACTAGTGTTTGGAGAACTAAGTGTGAGTTTCTGCTTCCAGGCCTGCTGTCATTGTCTGTGTCACGGCTTCGTCAGACCATTAGGTGATTATTTGAATGCAGGTGGGCTGAGGTGGAGACTCCCAGGAAAAGGTGCATGCCCATGGAAAGAAGCAGCTTTGTGAGGGGAACAGTGTTTACTTGTGCTCACCTTCTTTGTTGTGACAGTAACAGCCATCCTCCCTCAGTGAGGTTTAAAGCCCTCTTTAAGATTTCTCAGTACCCTACTCCCAAAGAATGTTTAATGTGTTAAAACATTGCTTGAAAAGACGTCTACCGGTGAATTTGGGGGTGATCCAGGGCCACTGTAACCGCTCCTGCTCAGAGGACCGAGTCCTTGGGCTTAGGAAGAGAGTACAGTAGAGTGGCCAACAGGACAACCCCCAAGTCTGGGCAGAGCCCAGTCAGTGCGTCCTTTCCCTACAGTTCTTATTACAAACTTGAGATTCAGGGAATTTCAGTCAACAACAGGTAGAATGAATAAATACTTGGTTACCAACCTAATAATGTGAATTGCTACATTTACTCTTATTATGTAAGAACACAAAGACTTTATGCAGATACTTTAGCTATAAATTAATGGAAAACGAACTTTTTTAAGGAAGGGAAAACAGAATCTTATTCACTTATTATGCAGTCAGTCAGTGAATGTTGTAAAGACGACGCTAGAGGAGTGCTGAGGAGAGAGCGTGGATGGGCCTGTGGTAAAGTTAAGAAGTCCGTCTGATTGTCTCTCCCAGTGCTGGGGAAGGAGGAGAGGGGTCCCAGCTCACACAGTCATTACTTGCTGACAAGTGCAATGGGGTATGGGGTAGATTTATTTTCAGAGCCGGGGACTTGGTGGTTATAAATTAAGTTGCTTTTAGTGATGGAATTTATAGACAGATGTTGTTCCGAAAGATGTGAATAAGAGCCACAATAGGAAGTTTATTCAGAATAAAGTAGATACTTAAGTTAATGAGTGTTATAATTTGATTTCTTAGACTGGGATTTTAATTGAACTTCATTATATCTCCAGGAAACACACAGAGCCTCGGGATTAGGAAAAGCCATTTTGGATTCTGCCTGCCACAAACAGACATATTCTAAACCGTGCTACTAAAGTTTAGACTGTTCAAATATTTTATTTTCTCTGACAACTACTTTTTATGATGATGAACAATTAAGACCATTTAAAATATGGGAGTACAAATATTTTTTTGAATTAGATTAACTTGCAGAAACCAAATTTGCAGTGCTTGGGTTGTTTCTAGACAGACTTTGGTATCAATTTAAAACCAAGATAATTTTTTATATTCTTTCCAATAGAATTCATGACAGCTTCTGCAGTTTTCTTAAACTACAAAAAACTAAAAGTGCTGCAATGATGAACAAAGAATTATAAAAAACCTACTTTTGTATCTTTATTTTGGAATTTCTTGTTCTATTATAAATATGGAAGTATCCCTATTTCAGAAGACATATTTTGTTAAAAATGAATTGTACATATTTAAATATGTATTTTTGCACAGGTCTTTTTTTCTGATATCCTGTTTTGGTACAATTGAGATCATCTAGTATTTATTTATTAATTAATAAAAATAAATACCTTTTTATAATTTGAAGTGGTTCACTGCCAAGCCAGTAGTTTAGAACCTGCCTCCTTTACAGTTAAGGGATGCCTCTGTTGTGTGGGAGTCGCTGTCCCTTTTAGTGTCTCGGGAGTGGATTCATACAGATGAAGCGGGCGTCTCTCAGTTGCCTGATTTTCAAATAGACTACATGGAGCTAAGTGACACACTGCTTTTCTTTGTTTAGTTGTGTGTATGTGTGTGTGTGTGTGTGTGTGTGTGAGAGAGAGAGAGAGAGAGAGAGAGAGAGAGAGAGAGCGCAAGTGCTCTGAGCACACCTGTGTTACTAGTATGTGATGTGGTTTAAAACTAATGAGGAAACAAACAAAACAAACTGAAAGTGCCTGAACCTAGTTTAAGCTCAGACAGACATCTTTAAAGACTTGAATGCTGAGTTGAACTTCTGGAGTTTGCTTTTTCCACCTAAATATTATTTCTTAAAGTTTTAGGGGAGAAGTTAAAAGCCACAAAGGCTGGTAATTTTTATAAGGTATTTTAAAATTTAAGATCTTTTGGTTCACAGTAATTTAACTGGCAATAGACTGCCCAGTGCCACCAAGGGTTATAAACTGTTGTCAGCCAGCAACTGTTTTGTTATTCACTCATGTAATACAGAGTTTAAGATAGGATATTTAAAATATTTTGTATTAAAAAATACAAGAAGTACCTCTGAGAACATTGAAAAAATGTTTAATTTGAAAAAAAAAAAAAGTAACTTATAAAGGCAGCTGTCTTCCTGTAAGAGTTCTGTTGCCAAGGGATTTCTATGTCTCCATTCTGTCCTGGGTTGGGGAAAAGTTAGGCTTTGAAAATGATTGTTAAAAGTTTCACTGTTTAAAAGAGAATAATCATTTTTACATCTTATGTAAGACATTTTACCTTTTTCAGATCATTTAAATGAGCACTACATACTGTCAGTGTGAATGCAGGGCCTTGAAAGAGTTGTTTGTTTGGGTTTTTTTTTTTTGGTTTTTTTTTTTTTAGCTTGTTTATTAAAGCAATCTCCTGTGTTAAAATGTGTGAATAGTTTGATACATGTGTACCCATAATCAAGAGCATCTCAGCTGGACTTTGTGTTGGCTGCTGTATAGAAATGAACAAATGTCAAGGGATAGAAAATTACTTTGGATATTTAAAAGAGAAGAAATATATAGACTATTTGTTTTGTAACAAGTTTCTGTAAATAAAATAATTTATACTATTTATAAGAAAAGTTGTGGTTTGCTTTATGAGAAATTAGTTTGTTGAACAAACATGTTACTAAATGGGCAATAAAATTAGGACTTCTCAATAAATAAGGTTGGCTGCATGAATGTTTCTGCCTTGTCTAGTACCTTTCCTATTAGCTTTACATCAGACACCATTTGCTTTACCCTTCCTCCACTACAGTCTCAGTTCTCTTGAGACCTTACAGTGTTCCCATTCTTGGGCAGAAGAAAGCTCTGTCTTGGGTGAAATCGATCCCCATGTAAATAAGACAGCGTGTTATCCTGGCCTGACCCTGTATGTGCAGGAAAGGGAGGAGCTGGTAGTACAGAGACAACATTCTACTTAAGCCTGCTCCTTTGTGAATTTGATGTATATAGTTAAGTTTTCATCACATTTTTACCTGCTAGAGAGGTTTTAAATCTGGAGCTCATACAGCCTCCTTTGATTTTTTTAAAAATTATTCTCCCCACTTATTATGCATACAAATACATTTCACTCTACATACGAATGCATTTTAGTTATATTCAGGGTATGTTGATTGTATCTATAAAAAGTCATTTTAAATGGTTTTGGTTGTTGCTTAAAGGAAGCATTTGACCCTTCAAGTGCCTCGTGAACATTCCAGTTCCTTTTCTCTGGTGGGTTAACAAGATGATCCAGTGACAAATCTCTTTGTGGATAAATCACTGTCTTGGGCCATTTAAAAAACAAAAACAAACAAACAAAAAAAAACAAAAAAACCAAAAAAACCAAGGCATCTGCCCTGCATGGTAAAAAGCCATCTCAAGGGTCAGAGGTAGCAGTTTTGGATCTTGCCATATGGGATCTCACTGGCAGCAACTGAAGAAGGTACAAACAGGAGAAAGGTATGACGAAATGTGGGAGATTATTCATGAAACTTGCTGCATAGAAGGCATGGATGAAGCTGTTAGATTGTTACTGTTAGGAGGCTTTATCCTTAGGAACATAAAGAACAAGTTCATACTGACTGGCAGATAACCATTAAAGCCCAGAGATACTTCCTGGGTCTGTGCATCTGGACACTTAAGTTATTCCAACAGCCTGGAAGTCCAAAACATGCTAGACTCTTCTCTATTTCTGACACTGTCAGGCTCTTTCTTCAAACATGTTTTTACTTCACAGTTCCTAATCAAAAGGCTGCCTATGGGGTAGCAAGGTGACCCAATGGGAACAGGCACTTGTTGCCAAACTTGAAGACCTGAGTTGATCCCTCTGATATACATTGTAGTGTAATAGACTCCACAAAGAAGAACCACCATTGGCTAGCACTTTTTAAATGGACGATAGGGAGGCCATTTGCTTACATGGCTTGGTAAGTCACACAATAGATTAGCATGGAGCCACTAGGTTCAGTTTGTTTCCGAACAGAGCTGAGACTAAGGCTCCAACCATTTGTATCTGGCTACCAAAATACCAAGCAAAGACTTTGGTTCTCCACCAAGCTGTCAACTAACCAACCACACATGTACCATTCATGTTCTCTCTTACATACACAGAATGTAAGACACTTTCAAAAGCAGTCTTTTAAACTACATCTTTTTTTCTGAACTGCAAGCAGTTCACTAAGTTAGATGTTGGTCTTGTAAAGTTGGTTATTGGTCCTTGTTACCTTCATTTAATATAGTCAAAGCTCCTAGGCCACAGTGGAAACTTGGTCTCATGATTCCCCATCAGTCAACTTAGAATTTTTCCAGGAGCCTCAAATACTTTTAATACTTTTTGAAAATACCCATCATTGCCAGTCCCCTCCAGTAACTGCTGCAGAGAGAATTGACAGTTTAAGCCAGAAGTGAATTGCAAGGCTGCTGCCATGATCCATGCTGAGTTTCTAAGCCTGCCAAGGGCAAGAGGAAAGTAATTCTGGAAATCTTTCAAAGACCTTGAGATCTAGTTATGTTGATGAGATCTCTGGATTTGAGTGAAAGTGTGACCTGCACAGAAGAGTGTGCACAGAGAGTGACATTGGCAGTAGAAACTCAGATTAATATTCAGGTGCCTGCTGTCTAGTTGGAACTAGAAAATAGAAGTAGTTGTCTTACATCATGGAAATGACTGAATGTAGCTGGGTAAAACAGGTGGCATTATTATGCATGGGTTTTTTTTCTTTTTTGCTTTTAAAATCATACTTTAATATACCATGTATTTAACAGTAGGTGATATTCAAAAGGAATTATTTCAACTTCATGCCAATTTACCTTTTATTTTCCCTCCTTTTTCATTTTGTGAAAGGCCTTTAAGTTAGAAAAAAACCAAGCTGTATCAATGCTACCATAGAAAAGGGTTAAGAATTACTTAGCTAAATTTTTCTAACATAGGCTGGTGACATCCCAACTTTGCATACAGGGAAAACAAACTCACTTGCCAAAATGGGCCAGGTCTAGAGTCTGGGCATTACACTGAATCAGTTACTTGACCACATTTGCTGGAGAAACTAGCCATGATTGCTTAAAAATTGGATGGTGGCCTTACTTTTTTTTTTCCCCTTAGAATACATCTAAAGGGGCCCGTGCAACTCGTGGATGACCAGCATGTAACTTTCTGACACTGGAACGCCTCCTTTCCTTTCCCAGCCTTAGTTTTCTGTGGGACATAACACAGAAATTTCTTCAGTGGCATCATATCAGTATTAAAATGTAAAAGCCAAAAGACAGACTATCAAAGCTGGGGATGACTAGACTGTATAGTTTTAATAACAAGTTTACGTTTGTTCCAATACATAAACTCTTGGCTATTAAGACTTCTGGTCATTTTCATGCCATTGATATAGACTTAGTTTAGCCATATAGTAATATGAAAGTGGCTTCTGTTGACATTCTTCATAGAAGCAGGATTCAGTGTATCCAGATTTTGAGGTTTGTAGTGTAAAATGAACCTCAATATTTTCCAAATATTATAAAACAGAATCAAAGATGAATTTCTCTAGGCATCAGATGGCCAGTACACAGGGAGCTTGGCCTAGAACTGACCTTGTCTGGTTAATATGTATGATGGAACTGTTTCTTTCATGTCTTGCAGCCATATTTCAAAGGAGATGTCGACGGCTAGAGAAAGGGCTCAGTTAAGTTTGGTTCCCAGAACTCACAATCTCCTGTAACTCCAATTCCAGTACTTACTACTGGCCTTCTGGGGGTAACACACACACACACACACACACACACACACTCAAAAAAATGTTGGATTTTGCTTTTTGCTTTTATTTTCATCACTAAGCTGACACTTGAAGAGTTTACTCATAATTTCTAATATATCTTAAACTATATAACAAGACCTCCAGTTTTGTATTAGGATATATGTAGATAGTGAACACAAAATAATCATAACATTAACAGTTATTTGCAGAGAACTGTTCTTAAATTGTTCTAGGCAGTGGATAATTTTAAAGTAGTTCTACTTGGAAGTGCCTGGATTTCTTTCTCAATGAGCACTTATTACTTTTCATGAAAAGCATTGATATCCCTTTTAAAAAGAACAGCACATTTTTAAGCAAGGAAGAATGTGAGCAAGGGCATTCTCTCACCTTAAAAGCCAGAGTTGTGATCCCAGCAGGCCAAGTCGAGTTCAAGTGTGAGTTTAAAAGGACATGAATTTGTCCTTTTTTCCCTTTTATTGAATATAGTTCTTTTCTCACATCTTTTTAAAGTGTATGTTGTTATTATTGTTATTAATGTTCTTTGGTGTTTTGCCTGTATGTTTACCCATGTTAAGGGTGTCAGAAGCCCTGGAACTAGAGTTACAGACAGATGTGAGCTGCCATGGGGTGTTGGGAATTGAACCCTGGTTCTCGCTCCCCCCTCCCCCCACATAGTATGTATTTTGATTAGGATTTCCCTCCCTCAGCTATTCACATAGTTCCTCCTTACCTCCCCCTAGCCACTCACTCTGTCTCTCATTAGAAGACAAACAGGTTTCTAAGGGATAAAAATAAAACACAAGACAGAACAAAACTAACACATAAGAATTAGACAAAACAGCAGAGGGGAAATGGCCCAAGAGTCAAATCCATTTGTTTACATTCAGGAAGCCCATAAAAACAGTAAACTGTAAACCATAATACACAAATGCAGGCAGGCCCTGTGCGTGTTCCCAGCCTGACTTCATGAGCCGTGTTTATGTAGATAGAAGAGCTTGTTCTCCTCATGCCCCCGCCCCCCTGGCTTATGTAAACTTGCTCTTCCGAGAAGATCCCTAAGCCTTGAGTGGGGAGGGATTTGATTCAGCACCGAGGAACACAGTTCTTATAGAGACTGTACTCAGTGACTCAGTTCTTTTATTTCTAATTATTAGAAGCAATCAGGTAATCAAGAGATGTGTTTTTTTTGAAATCCCTAACTTGCTATTTTGAAATACTTTAGGAATATTCAACAGGCTGACTCCTTCCTACCCACCATCCAGAAACTCCTTTCAAATACAAGTCTGGCCATACATAATATTACCCTTACTGTATACCAGGGACCACTCTTTCTGAGGACATGGTCTTGACTTTGAAGATAATGTAACATTTTGGCATGATTTTTATCCCACTGTGACTTGATCACTGCAGAGTTTTTTCATCGAGAGATGCTCAATTATTACCAATTTTCAGTCAGGTGAAAGATGTGTTTTCATTCCTATAAATAAATGTGTTCTAAAAACACCAGGAACTTTTCTCCATCCTCCCTTGCCTTTTATGGTAAATTCATCATTTGCCTTCATCGAGGCGCTAGGATAATAGTCATCTTTAACTTAAGGGCTATGGGATCTTCAGCTCATTTTCTCATAGCCTCTCCTGTTTCACTAATCTTTTAGCAAATATTGTTGCCTCTACTTCGTGAGCACTCAATACACAATGACATAACAAAACACTAAGTCCAACCTGGTCATCCTTTGTGAGTTACAGGAGTGGGGCATGGGGGACACCGGGGACATGTTGAGCAGAGTTCCCTTCACGATCTGTACCCCTTTTTATATCTTTATAGCACTGACCTCCCCCCACCCCGCT